AATAAAAATTTATTCTAATCTAAACTATAACTAAAACTAAAATTTTCAAACAATGATATTGACCGTTATACCGTCGAGATATCGAGGAATTTTACAACACAAAGTGTAAATATGACAACATTCAGACTGCGTAGAAAAATATACGAGAAAATAGATTGGTTTGACAAGCAATACATATCGTTGGTCGTCGACCCTTTTGTTTCGAGATCGATATGTCGCTTCACACAGCGTGTCACATGCCCTACGTCAAACAAGTTAGTTCCCTTAATTTTATCAATCGAATTGGCATTCCTGATTCAATGTCTGCTAGAGACGAATGCACATCACGATAAGATCGTACGGTACCATGATGAAACGCTTGTCGTCTTATTCTGCTATTTATTTGTTCGCGCTCGTGATATTTTATAGTCAACAAGTTTATACTAATTATCAAGGTACACATTTTCCATATAACATCTCAATCAAATTTTACTATATTTTTATAATTAACATTATTCTTAATTAACAAGAATTATAATTAAAAACAAATCAGCTTTGTTATTAACCTTTGTTATTAATTAATTAAAATTGAAATTCCGAAGTTTAATATCCAGGCTTATTTTCGAAAATGTTACAAATGTTACAATTTAATTAATTATTTTATTCAATTAAATTTTAATTCATTTTTCTTTTTTAAAGCAACGATATTTATATATAGGAATTTCTAGATATGTGATATAGTCGAAAGAAGTTATAAAAATTATTCATACAGAAAAATATTATACATACTGACATGAATTTCAAAAACGCACAAATAAATAAAATATAAAACAAATAAAATAAAATATATAACGTGCATAAATATAAACCACGAGAAACTTGTGTGTACAATATTGTACAATATAAATTGAGATATATAGTTAGCCGTTTCCGTAATTCTCTACAGAAAAAGTTTCCACGTCGATTTCAGGGTTTTTCCGCACCCTATCAGCCTGTCCTATTTCGAAAAAGTCATTGCCGTCTCTCAGAGCAGAGCTTTCCTCTTGTCGAGCACAGCGCGCACGCGAGAGCTATTTTTCGCGGTTTCGCGAGCAGTAGAGAGAAGAGTAGTAGGTCGCGGTATGAGAAGATGACCTATTGTATATCACATCTCTATGCTATCCCTCCTTGTCTGCATTGCGGTTGTATAGGCCATGGACGTCGAAAACGAAAGGGTATCTTCTTTTCGTTACGAACTCGATTTAAGAGAATCCTTTCAGATGCTGTAGTATGATGACGTTGTTATCTTTTAACCTATCCGCTCGTTTTACATGTCTGAATAATAATATTTCTCTTAAAAGAATTTTTTAAATATTAGAAAAATAGGATGTAAAAATAAGTTGTAAAAATATATCTCTGTTATTGTAAAATATTAAATATTCTCATAATCCAATTTAATTTATCAGTTGTATTAAAATTCTCAATTTTAAGCACAAATTAATTAAGCGGTTATTAATTAAATATTCAATAGTCTGAAATGGAGTGAGTAATTTTTTAAGAGGATATGCTGTGTGTGCGAGTGACATTTTTCTATGATATAGCACTGCCAAGCGAGAAAACTGCTGCGCTTACCACGAAATGATGATCCATTGTACGTGCTTGCCGTGGCTTCATCTTCTTCTCCCTCTCCTCTTCCTCTCTTTCTCCCTCTCTCATTCTCTCTCTCTCTCTCTCTCTTTCTCTCTATCTTTTTTATCTTATCATGTTCTTCAGTAGCATACAACGACAAAATTGATACCTGATATCGAGAGACCTCGCCTTCTGTAACATTTTCACCTACACGAGAAAGCTCCTTCCTGTATTTTCGCAACAGAGCGATGCCTGGAAAGACGGAAACGGAAATATTCCCGTTGCTGAAAATATTCGCGTCTCTCAATAATATTGGTGTCCATTCGGTTCCATTCGGTTCTTCCTGTCAATTTCTTTTATGTAACTTCATAGATCGATCAATCTTTCTTTATCAAACTTGGTCACGTTATAAAACTCAACTATAAAATAAAGAGAAAGTTGACTTCTTGCCGTCGCAGCTTTTAAATTTCATTTCCAAATCTATTATTTAGATTTATCAGTCGCTACTTAATGTTGATGCATTAACTGAAGCGCGTACAGGAGGCTAAAATTGAATAGATCCATGATGTGGCAGCATTAATACCATTATGTAACATTAAAGGTTAAATAATGGGGAGTGGTCAATATAACGAAATATTGGTGATATATATATTCAAGCACATAATTATTATTTAGAAATGTTCCTCTGGTTTATTAAATTTTCACACAAATTTCTCATGGAAATGGAAATGCGTGTAACAACATCATAATAAAGTAAAACAGGCAATGCATTGACGAGTGAAACGTACACTCGGAATTTCGAGCATAATATTCAAATAATGCATTGTTACGATAAATTCGATAGACAGAGAACGATGTGAACCCAATAAAATTACTAAAAGCAAATACTAAATATTATGATAAAATATACATTAAGTTTATTCTTAGCTAACTTAACAACGTTGTAATTATCTAATTATTTTTGCATTTTAATTTTCGATATCATAAATTTTGCGATAAACAACATTTTTTAATTATTAATTGTATCATTAAATTGTTATGTATAATTTGAAATTATACAATTATACATAATTAAATATCTTGTGTAATTAAAAAAAATATCCATATAGCAAAGAAAAATTTTTATTCCGAAAACTTATTAAGATAAAAGTTGGCATAAAAAATGTCAATTTTTATTTTAATTATTGATAATTGTGTTTTGCTTTTAAGGACATTATACACGCGCCGCTCATTTACCGGACGAGCACGAAGTAGTAATACCGCGAAAAGTCAGATCGGATGGAAGTTTCATATCTCACCATATACCCCATCACTTCGAACGCTCTCTTTATCGAAATCAGACGACAAATGATGACGTTGTTCACTATCGCCTGCGTATTGATCACGAGGAGCATCATATCGAGCTTTATCCAAATCGTCATCTCCTTGGACCAGGTGCGATTGTCGAAACACATCGGGGATCGCATGATTTTTTAAACAACATGCACCTGAAGCGATTGCGGGGCATGCAATGTCATTATCGAGCCCGTGTGCGCAACCAATTGGACGATAGCGCTCTATCTACTTGTTATGGACTCGTTAGTTGAATGTTTCTATATCCGATTGATCGTGTGCAACTTTCTGCCATATAATACTGGTTTAAAAAATTAACTTGAATCTACGCCAGCATCTTTAATGTTACATAAGCCTTTTTGTATAATATTAAGATAAAAATAATTAAATTTAGGTAAAATTTTAAAAAATTTGCTAGTTTATTTTTAATCAAAGTACATCAAATTTTAAGAAGCCGCAATTTCATTGTTTTATCCTTTAGGTTGGATACATCAAAACGAAACGTGCGTGGTACATGATCGAACCATTGCCGGGATATAACTTTACCAGAAAGACAGAACAACCGCATATTGTGTATAAAAGAAATTCGGATGAATATCAAACTGCTACTACGCGGAATTTTTGCAACGTTATCGGTAAAACATCCAGAATCATTGCTAAGCGTGCTTTGAATCAGCAGAAGGGAGTACCTGCAAGAACAATCGGGAACAGATCATACACGCTGGAGCTGCTGGTTGTATTGGACAAATCTCTGCTAGACTACTACAAAGAGTTCGATATCGAAAATTACATACTGACACTTTTCAATATGGCGAGTTAAAAATCTAGAAATTTTTTTTTAATCTTTTTTAGAATCAGCAAACTCTTAAAAGATACTTTTTTCAGGCTGCAGGATTATTTCACGATGTCAGTTTAGGTATACACATGCAGTTGACTATAGTGAGAATTATAAGATTAGAGGTGGAGGAAAATGAGGTAAAGTAATTAGAATAGAAATATCTCGTCTCTCAAGTAAATTGTATTGTTTTATCAGAGATATAAGAATATATGATACAATTTTTTTACTTTCAACGGATTTAATAGTCACAAATCTTTTTTATGAGATTAAGATTAAAAAAGTATTTGGATTATAGCTTATAATTTAAATGATATCTTTTTTTCTCGCGTTTGAGTTTGCGTCAATCTGACAGCTTATCGAATACACCGCAGATGAATTTGTCGATAAATCAAGACGCGGATGCGACGTTGAAGCACTTCCAAGAGTGGCAGTACACCATGAATCCCGGCGACGATTCCCATCCAAATCACCACGATTGCGCGATTCTCATTAGCAAGTACGCGGCACGAGCAATTCTGTCGGAAATTCAATTTAATCCCAAGATTACGGGTACTCACCCTTTTGACGATAACTTATCAGATTAGATATCTGTGTCTCGAGAAACCTCTGTGGTTTCACCGGTACATCCACGATCGCTGGTACGTGCGATCCTTTGAGAGGTGCAGCGATTGTAAGAGACGCTGGTCTGCCAACCGGTTATCATATAGCTCATCAGATAGGCCACACGTAAGCTCGTAATTAATTTCGTTCCGACCTAATTAACCGCAGAAAAAATTTTAAGTAATTATACAGCACCGAGAAAAG